CACATCTCTCTTTTTTTTTATTCCCCATGCTATGTGTGTTTGCATAGAGGCACTTAAATTGGGCCTGCAGTGAAGCTGAATTACTGGTTGGAGTGTCTGGAATTCCTTCATGCTGCTCTTCAGGTGCTCTCCTGCTGACCTGCAACCCCTCCCCAGGCTCTGGGCATCTCCTGCTGGCACCAGCATCAAACTGGTAGGAGTGGGATGGATTGAGGTTCCCCTTCCCATAGCAACTTTAGTTTAAAGCCCTCTTCACTGGCTTGGCAAGCCTATGACTGAAGATGTCCTTCCCCTTCATGAGTATAGCCCATCTGAAAATAAATATCAACAATAAAATACTGGGAAAGACTCAAAACTCCTAACTGTCCACAGTGTAGATGATGCTTGCTAATTCAGTCCTGTGTAAACTGTCATTTCTAGCAAGGCTGTTCCAAATGTTATTAAGGGCACTGCACCATATTGCAGAATGTGTTGGCAATGCCAAAACCAGAGGGAAATCAGGAACAGCAAAAACATAAGGCAGCTGCCAAACACTGATTTTCTTTAAAGGTGGGAAGCAAAGATACCGGGGGTTTTTGAGAGTGAGGAGAAAAATGTTGGAGTGGTTTTTGCATGTCTGTTCACAAGAGCTGAGGGGGCTAAACACAGTGGTTGAAATGGGTTTAATGTATTCATGTTCTGTGCATAATTACACTTGGGGGAACACATTTGACAAGAAAGCAATAGTAATATATCAGTGCCTATCTGAGCATCTCAGTTGTTACCATGCAGCAACTCATGAGCCCTTGGATCTCCACAGTGACTGTCAATGGAACTTACACTTCTGTCTTCCAAAAGTGTATGTCCCTGCCACCTGAAATTCAAAAAACAGCCCCATGGACTGCAGCATGTCAAAGGGAACTCAGAAAACTGGTAAGTTGAATGCTAGTTTCACTTCTAGTTTTGCAACGTGATAGTTTTTAGGGGGGGTTATCAGTGAATGCAAATACTATGAAAACTGTATTTTGTATGGTTCTTATGCATGAACCAGTTGGGTCACTGATCACAGACACCAGAGGGTTGTGGCAAGTGCTGAAGAGTTAAAATTCAGTCACTGAATGAAGTAAAACTTTATCAATCAGAGTATTTGGTGCTGAGTAACCACTGAATCACACATGTGAATCACACATGGTATCAGCAATAAAATGAACTAAAAAATTCCTGCAGGGAGAAATGGACCAGCCCACAAAAGGTCTCACTGGAGTTAAAACTTTATGAATGTGGAAGACAACTAGAAAAGATATAAGTAGCTCCTGTCCAGTGACAAGTCATGCCTGGAAGAAAGAAGAGTCAGGAATTAACTTTACTCTGACAGGAGCTGGCTCAGAATCATTCCATGTTTTTAATTCTTTTCGGTTAACATTAGTGGAGGAGACTGGCCATGAAAGCACTGTAGAAATGTGAGGAAAATATTACTTCATATAAAAATAGGAGTGAGAGGGTTTTAAACCAAGAATAAAATCATAAAATGAAAGTATGAGCACTTGTGACTGGTTTAAGGGCTTTCATTCAGCTTTGCTTAGCAAACAGTTCAGGTGCTTTAAGATATTACTGCTTCCCAGTTGTTTGTTGTGGTCTCTTTGTAACAGGTCATCACCCTGTAGCAGAATTGACAGAAGGAAATGTATGCCCATGCACAATCTGCTTCAGTACAGGAACCGTGTCTTATTCAAGCCCACCTCTGTTGGTGATTTGAGGCTGGCTGTCAGCCTTTGCCTTAGCTCAGCAGAGGCACAAGCAAACGATCCCTTCTGCCAGCCCTACACTGGTGGTGGTATTGGAAGGATGAGAAAACTTTTCAACTCTTATAGCAAGATTTGCTGGGTTTTATCTGTCAAAGCCTTAAGCCCGCCAAGACAGTCTTGCACTTTTAGAGTTGTTTGCGGTTTGTTTCTTCTTTTATGTAGGAAAAGAAGTCAAGGGGCTGAGTTACAGGACTGAGGGGCTAAGTGAAGGGATAACTGTTAAAGGAGCAACACACAGTTAAGATCCAGGACTTAACACTCATACAGAGACTACATTGGAAAGAAAGGGATAGAAGCATTGGAGTAGGTCTTGTAAGGACTTTGGAAGATCTCACTGGGTTTCAGAACATAGATGAGAAAACCACATTGCCTTCCTTTTTCCACTCTCCTGTGCCCTCCTATTCAAATTCCTAGGACAACAACCTTTATCCTGAAACAGAAATTGCTTTGGAACAGAACAGAGTTGTTGCTCTGCAGAAGGAAAGCAAGTGAAACAGCAGGTAGCATGGGTGCAACTTCCTGGGCAGAGCAGGAAGCACAGTGGAAAAAAAGGGTGGAATCTTTCACTTCTGTGTAGGTCCTAAACCTGTGAAGTGGGCATATTTTCCACCACATTTCTGTTGAGAAGAGTTGGAAATATTTTTCTGCATTTACTTGATGCAAAAAGAAAATAAGGCAGCTTTTGGACCGTTCTCCTCCCTATTGGGAAACACTGTTTTTGAAGATCACCATCTGAGTTGCTTTTAGCAGATGTTTCACATGAAAATACAGCTTTCTGACAGTCTAGAGGTTGATAAGTTATACATAGATGAAATTTTGATGTGAGAAAAAACAGTAGGTTGACAAGTGACTCCTGGCAGCTTTGAAAAGAGTTACAGCTTCTGGAATAAAGCAAAAAGAAACAAAAAAAAATGTAAATTTCATATGGTGGAAATAGCATACCTCATTCAGAAGCTAACCCAATTATATATATGTGGGGAGATGAAAGTACAGCTGAGGCTATCACCTACCTGCTTTAACAAGCTGGAAGGTGCTCCCTTTTTTATTTTCATGTTTCTCATAAGTGTATTGTCAAAACGAGAGATCACTCAGACTGACAAATGCAGAATGGTGATGAGAGCAAATGAAGGACTCTGGCTCTAGTAATTAGGTGTAGAAAGTTTTTGTCTTTATTAGCGAGAATGTTATTTACAAGGTGCAGATGGAAGCATAAACCACTTCTTGCCATTGCCAAAAGCACTTCACAGACAGCCTTTCTACACCTTGGAGAACAGATACTTCTTTTCAGCTGTACATGTACGATTTCAGAGTGAATTCACATCTGGGGAAAAATGCATTGGTTGGTACATTCACAATAGCAGGGCTCTGCAACTGACAATTTAATCTGGCCCCAAAAGTATTACTAACATTTGAGATGCATTTGCACATTACCAGGTGTTTAGTCCTGTGAGCTGCTACTGCATCCATGACACAGAAGAGTAGTGAGAGAGACCAAACTGAAGAGATTTCAGAAGAGGTATCCAGCCCTGATTCAAAAGGTCAGACGTCTCTGGCATGGAGGTTTGGCAAAAGTGCAGCAGAGCTAAGTCTTAAGGCAGACTATGTATCTGTTGAACTGATAAAGAAGAAATACCAAACGTTCTGATCTCAGATGCAACTTGGATTGGTGAGATACTAAGGAAAGTACTAATACTACTATTGTATTATGATACCTAACTAAAAATAGAAAATAGTGATATAATATTAGCATATTCACAGCTATTGTTACTGATTTATGGATGATCCACGTACTGCAATCCTAGATGAGATGTTCTCTAAAAAGATGTTTCCAATGTGTTGCACAAAAACTACCTCAGAAACTACAAAAAAGGAACGTAGATATTGGAAAGACAAGAAATGAAAAGTTTGAAGTTTGTTGCATATGCCAAAAATACAGTCCAAGTCAAATGAAAAGGCTTGTACTGGCACTAAATTGTTGAACCCCTGGAGCAAGGTAGGCATAGGTTTGTTTATGCTGGCTGAAGAAGACTAGTATTTGTCCTAGCTTGCTGTTTTCACTTTCTGATGATAGCTTTACTAAAAAATACTGCAACTGAGTAGGCAATTAGGCATAACAAATTATTTTTGATGTAGAAAGAATGAAATGCAAGCCACAAAAATTAGTAAATAACTTGAAGAGTTTTGTGGGAAGTGGAGTCATGTAACTGCCAGTCCTTGTTATCTCAAATCTAAAGTGTTGTTAGAAAACAGTATCAAAAAAAGCACTGCAAAATAACCTGCAGAACCAGACTGATCTGTATTTAGACTAAATTACAGAAGGACAATAATTAAATTTAGGTTGTCATCTACTGACATTTTACATGACAGAATGCTGTATAAAGCGTACTAGACTGCTGTATAAAGACAGGAGGAGAGCAGGATAAAAATCCTGATGTGATCTCATGACCCAAATGCTGCCATCACTTCATAAACTGATACTGTGCATCAGGGAATAATGGTCTTGGAACACAATGACATGCTTGTATGAGAACATCACTCTTCATATATACAGTGAAAAGACGGGTGACCCCTTTTCACAAATGGTAGTAAGAGATACAGGTTAGCAATCTTGCCAGAAAATGTCATCATGCTGAGGACATCTTTTCTGAGAAGGAAATGTTAACTGCTGAGCCTTAGGAAGCTGCCATCCAGGGTCAAAGGGCCTTACTGGCCTTGACTAGCCTTGCATGTGGCCTCCCCTCACACCTTGCCTATGGCCCAGAGGCTCCATTTCAGCTCATCCTCAGGCCCAGAGCCTCCATTTCAGCCCATCCTCAAGCACCCAGCCCTGTCCTGGGGAGGTGTCCCTCTGCCCAAATTGCAGCTTGGACATCCCAGGTTGACCTCACACCTGGCTGGTGGCCTCACATATGTGTGGTGGTCTGGACAGTGGAACTGGACCATCATCTCAACCTGACACTGCTGACTAATGCAAAGAAACCCTTCGCATGTCAGGCTCCTTTCTCCACTGGAGACTTGGTGTACAAGACAAATACATTTGAGAGTTTTATATTTCAAGGCCTCACTCTCATTTTGGTTTCTTTGAATGAGCTGACTTCAGAACTTCTTATGAATTAATTCATTTCAGCATCCAGCTGAGATGCTCTACTGTGCTTATGTAGGAAGTGACCAAATTCCAGTATAACTCCCTGCTCATAAGGCTTTTTCCTTTTGCAGTTGAAAGAACCTGGTTCTTCTCACTAAAGTAAGCTATCTCATGCATGAAAATCATCATAAGGAACAGGAGCCTTTTCTTCAAGACACCAAAACTGATGGTATTTCAATCCTATCATTTTTAATTCTGACCTTACCTCTGCCACTACAGAGATCAGTGAAAACAGCCCTTTTGAGGCTTCAGAATGTCACACCTTTATTTGTGAGATGAAAGAGCCTGTTATTACTGAATTCCTGTTCTCCAGGTAGGTACTTCAGTAATTTTTCACCTGTTTTCAGTGCCCTAAGTAGTTTGTTCCATGAATTCCATGAGGAAGTTTCCATTTTAATAGTTCTAGAGGACCTTCTCTGAAATGTCTTTGATTTTTCAAAATCTTTATCAATTTGTAAACACCAGAGCTGGGCTTATTATTCCAGCAGCATGACACACAGCAGCATGTAACCTTCCTACACTTTCTGAGTATAAATTCCTGGCTACATGTAGGCATTGCATTACCATGGGAGAGCCTGTTCACCTGATTTATTGCTCACAAGCTTCTGTTTTATTTCTTCCCCATTATTTGTAGATGAATGAGTTTTTCTGTCACCATGTTGAAATACACGTGGTTTTATTAAACTATTTACCAAGCTGCACAAAGTTCTACATGAGTGGTGAGTCCCCTAATGTTTTAGTCTTCTACAGACTTCAGGGTGATAATTTTGACTTTTCTTTGGGGGTCTGTAATAACAATTTCAATGGTATAGGGGACAAAACCATCTAAGAATATACTTATGAATTGAAGAATACTCTCTTACAGTTGCTCTTTTGGTCCCATGAAGTAACCGTGTTTCATATTGATTTAGAGTTGTTTGGTTCTCAGTCTTCCAGTTAATTAAAATCTTGAAATGTCCTGAAATGTATTATTATACTGAAAGATCTGCCTCAAAATGCAATAATTAAAGCTTTGGTGACCAAAAAAAATTTATGTGACTACAAACAATCCCAGCTTCACCAGTGAAGTTTAATGGCAATGTTTTGCAGAGTCATGCAAGATTGCTGGAGTTGATTTGTAGTTCTTGTCTTTTGCTTGCTCAGGCAAGGGGGGGAAAACAAAAAACAAGAAAACAAACATGCATCATACTTTGCTCCAAGTTAGAAATATTTCCCATCATTCAGGGAATGCTTATTACAAACAGCTAAATGTAGCACTATTGGTCATCTGCCACTGCACTGATGCAATGTAGTCTGCTTCACATGGTGGAAGACGAGGAGGGAAAAAAAGATAAGGACTGGAAAGCACAGAATAACGTAGAATAGTTTCCAGGCCCTATCTATCTCAGTTCAGCTCCTTAAAACCTTCTCATTAAAATGCATCGTGCAGCGTCAGGGAAACAAAGTGAAATTTTAGTGAAAGAAAATGAGAAATTTTTTGTTCCTGTTTAGTATCAGTCATGAATATTGGCTGTTCCAGAACAGCTAGCCACTGATCCAGATGAAAAAGCTTCAAATAAGAGAATGGGTAATCTCAACACGAGGCATCTCACAGTAATTGTGTCTTGATTTGAGGCCCAATATTGAAAGGCACATCTGAGAGATATTCAGTGTCTTAACTGACCCCGAGGAAGCTCAGGAATGAGTCAATGAAACTAGAACACTTGTTATTTATGCACTCAGTTTGTAGCCTAGCTGTAGGTAGAATAAAAAGGCTCAATTCCAGTTGCAAATGTGAAGTATCTAAACATCTACTTACACATGCATTAAGTATATCATAAGTACTAATCAAATCTATTTGTCTTTTTCAAAATAATTGGGATACATTTGAAATTAATGGATGCATTACCAGTTATCTGGATGAAGGGACTGAGTGAACCCTCAGTAAATTTGCAGATGACAGCAAGTTGGGTGGGAATGTTGATCTGCTACAGAGAGATCTGGACAGCCTAGATCTATGGGCCAAGGCCAGTTGCATGATGTTCAACAAGACAAAGTACTGGGTTCTGCACTTGGGCTACAACAACCCCATGGAATGCTACAGGCTTGATATTAAAGGTCTTTTCCAACTTAAAAGACTTTATGATCCTGTGAAAATTATAATTATTTGTTCTCTTACAGTGCTGTCACACTGTACTACTTTTAGAAACAAATCTGAACCAAAAAGTATTAACGCTAGAATGTTAAAATTAATAAGCAGATCCCTGGAAAAAGTATGGTAGATTTTTAGAAGTAATTAAAGTGAGAGAATCTATGAATATAATTTTAAAAGCCTATAGAATTTATTAAAAAAAAACGTGCACAGAGTCTGAAACTAGTTCATAGAATATAATAGAAAAATTTCTCTTTGGCAGTGCTTGCTGTTTGGAGTAGAGAACATATACCTTTCTTTGTGTTGGCATTGCCTCTGTCATGCTGTGGAATGTTAAAAGAAAACTTAAAAATGGTGCAACTGCAGTGTTGAGTAGTCAAAAGAGCTGTTTTCACTGATTGCAAAGAAGTCTTCTGTTCTGGTTTTCTGATTCTATAGAAGTGTTAAATGCTAAATGAGTTTTCCAGAAGGTTCATTTTAATATCACAAAAGCATATCCAAAAATATACTGGCACATTTATTACAGATATAAATTTGGGCAGGAACCAGTTAAAAAAAAAATGAGCAAGCCAACTCAGAAAAGCTTAAGCCACTAAGTCCCTCTTATGAAAAATCTAAGTTTCAGATAGCTTTTCTTTAACAAAAAGGATAAATATAAACTACAGAGCTGGACTGTATTCCATTTCCCCTCTACTGTTTTAAATAAGATATCCAAATTCTTTCCATTTGTCATGGAGCATTAAGGGCATATTTTCATCCTGGATTATATAGTATCAATTGGTAATATGCCATGTTGTGATTGACCACAAAACATCATATAACCTGGAGCAAATTTCAGATGTATGGAAGAAGTTCTAGTTGAACAACAAACCATGAAAATCTAGGGGCAGCTAGGCCTCTGACTACAATTAAAGCATGCAGCAAATTTGTTCCACCAACAGGTTTTCCCGTGTTCAATGATTGACAAGGTTTGTTCAACTTCGACAGCACTGTGTGTACTGAAGTTTGTGCATGAAATCATTCCACATATGGGTTATACAGATGCTCTGCAAACTAAGAATACAAAAGCAATTAAGCAAATGAAGCAAAACCCAAGGATGTAGTTTGCATCCCTTTATGTTTATATTTGTATTACAGTCGTTAGCAGAAGACAGTACTTCTTCTTACTTCCAAGTCAGGATTTGACTGAATGAATGTTGTGTTATTCCCTTTGGTATGCTGCACAGAAAAGTCTTATCAACAGGAGATGCACATTCTTGCCTTGCCACCAGCAGCAGCACACAGTGTCCCCAACTTGATGGCAGTGACCAGTTTCTTCTGGGTATTCAGTTCCTTCACATTTTCTGAGCATCCAGAAGAGTCCTAGGGATGGCTGTGGTTTTTAATGAAGACTTTAATCCTTAAGGTTTTCACTAAAACTGGTGACTTATTTCAAATCGCCAATTAAATTGGAATCATTTTCTTGGTCAGATTGACCAAGAAAGGTCCAGACTTTGAATCAGTAGTCTCCATATGGAATGTGAAATGTTACTACCAGCTCACTGGTAGTAGGTTTTCAAAACATCCTATATATTTCTAAGGCAGTTTCTTGTGGTACTGCCAGTAATAATGGCACACGAGATGTAAGAAGATGCACTTTTAAGTAGTTGGTTTCTGAATATTTTGTAGCAACCATCCATTTCTCCCTGCAAGCTTTATGTACATCTAATACCCTCACAAAGTCATGTCTGATCACTTGTATACATCAATGTTCCAGTCATTAGGGGAGGGAGGGAAACAACTATAGGCCAGTTTCACAGCCAGATTAATTTTTACTGCAGCCTTGAATTTTTACTGCACTTTGATGATGGAAGACCATAATAATCTGTCACAAGTATCATCAGATGTCAGTATCACTGTATGTAGAGTGCGGGATTGAATTTGGTACAGTGCCTATTATTGTTACCACAAACCAAGCTTACCGCTTCATTATTAAGAAGCAAGGAAAGAGCAGCATGTGCCTGACCTTTGAATAGCATAGGTGCTTTCAAAGACATATTCATTTTCAGATTTTCTTTAAGCTATCCCTTCATACAGACTTCCTATTGCTAGTAATGGCTATTTTTATACCTTTTCTTCCCCCCCCCCCCCCCCAAATATGTCATAGGGTTCATGTTTAAATTTTACCGAAGTGAAAAAAAAAAATCACTTTTGTGTTTTACACTTACTTATTATGCCTTCACTGAATTTGGGCATAACGGCTTGTAGCTACTCAGAAGTGCAGTGATTTGAGGACAGTTGGTCTAGAGAAATGCTGAAAAATGACACAATAAAAACCAATGTACAGCAGTGCTGCTGAAAATGTGTGTGGTTGACACATTCAGCATGTGTTTAGCCCAAAATATTTCACCTATTCCGTGCTGCTTTTTATTCTATATATAGGCTACATGTTGACCGTTGGTGTAATAGAACAGATAACTGGTTCTGAGAAGGATTAGAAATTACAATCATTGTGTCTGTCAGCTCATTTTTATCTTGATTCTTGCTGTCATTTTAGTCAATTGAAGTAGTCCCATGTCCTGTATTTCCCTAACTCAGAAAACCAACAATAACCAAAACCAACTTGGTCCATTTCTATACCTTGGAAGTTTTACTGGTAGCATGCAGCCACCAGTATTGTTACAAAGAGTGTGCACACTACCAATGCTCACGGTATGCATCTTCACAAAAAGTCCAAGACATTATGGACAAGCATCACTGCTCACTTCCTCACAGTGCCCTTTCTGAGGCATTTTTGTAACAAGCTGTGAAATACCAGTAGGTCATTAAGAGAATTATGAGGCTCAGAGCCAAGTTTGCAGAGGTATTTCTGTAAATGACAGAACTCATTTACTCTTGGTTTTGGGTTTTTTTAAGACCTTTAGGTATTTCCCTGCACTTCCTCACTCTTTCTAGCATCTCACACGCAGCTCCTCAGCAGACCAGCAGAACTGTTTTGAGACACAGCAGTTGAGTGGGATATACCAAGATAAACTCAGTAACTGCAGCAGCTGTTTGAACAGTGATCAGAATAGGGAAATCTAAGAAAGTAGGTGATACAGAT